AGGTCCACTGTTGGAGCAATCATTAGAAAATGGAAGAAGCTAAACATGACTGTCAATCTCCCTCGGACTGGGGCTCCATGCAAGATCTCACCTCATGGGGTCTCAATGATCCTAAGAAAGGTGAGAAATCAGCCCAGAACTACACGGGAGGAGCTGGTCAATGACCTGAAAAGAGCTGGGACCACCGTTTCCAAGTTTTACTGTTGGTAATACACTAAGACGTCATGGTTTGAAATCATGCATGGCACGGAAGGTTCACATGCTTAAACCAGCACATGTCAAGTCCCGTCTTAAGTTTGCCAATGACCATTTGGATGATCCAGAGGAGTCATGGGAGAAAGTGATGTGGTCAGATGAGACCAAAATAGAACTTTTTGGTCATAATTCCACTCGCCGTGTTTGGAGGAAGAAGAATGATGAGTACCATCCCAAGAACACCATCCCTACTGTGAAGCATGGGGGTGGTAGAATCATGCTTTGGGGGTAGTAGCATCATGCTTTGGGGGTGTTTTTCTGCACATGGGACAGGGCGGCTGCACTGTATTAAGGAGAGGATGACCGGGGCCATGTATTGTGAGATTTTGGGGAACAACCTCCTTCCCTCAGTTAGAGCATTGAAGATGGGTCGAGGCTGGGTCTTCCAACATGACAATGACCCGAAGCACACAGCCAGGATAACCAAGGAGTGGCTCTGTAAGAAGCATCTCAAGGTTCTGGCGTGGCCTAGCCAGTCTCCAGACCTAAACCCAATAGAGAATCTTTGGAGGGAGCTCAAACTCCGTGTTTCTCAGCGACTGCCCAGAAACCTGACTGATCTAGAGAAGATCTGTGTGGAGTGGGCCAAAATCCCTCCTGCAGTGTGTCCAAACCTGGTGAAAAACTACAGGAAACGTTTGACCTCTGTAATTGCAAACAAAGGCTACTGTACCAAATATTAACATTGATTTTCTCAGGTGTTCAAATACTTATTTGCAGCTGTATCATACAAATAAATAATTAAAAAAATCATACATTGTGATTTCTGGATTTTTTTTTTTAGATTATGTCTCTCACAGTGGATATGGACAATTTCAGACCCCTCCATGATTTCCAAGTGGGAGAACTTGCAAAATAGCAGGGTGTTCAAATACTTATTTTCCTCACTGTATATACATTTATAAGAATGTATTATGAAATACAAACTAACTTCTAAAACATGTTGTTTTGTCCCTTATCGCAAGAATCAGTGAGATATATATAACCAAAATAGAGACGTACTTAAATCAGCCTTGTGTAAGGGAATCCAAGGAAGATTCCTACTAAATTTAAGTGTCATTAACACCGCTGCTGTCTTTATACAATTTAGTTGACAGCAGGTGGTGCATGATGTGCAAATTAAACAAGTTATTAAGGCATGCTACCAGAGAGAAGCTGACATTAACAGCACTGAAGATAAACAACTAAATGCTATTTTAAGCATTTAAGAGCTAGAAAAGGAGTTTCATGAAATTGTAATTACCTGGCATTTAACAATGTATCACAAGACACACGCTCACATAATTGTCATGTCGAAATGGCAATATTTATAGGACTGCCAAACAAAGTTTCATTAAAGTGAAAATTACTTATTTTTGGTTTGTCGAAGATCTTCTGCCACACACTTTCAGATATTTTATTAGAACACAACATTGCAAACGAACGAACACTTTGATGCACACAGACAGACAATGCTCAAAATACAACTGTCCACAAGGCTCCTGAAAACAAATGTTTGGTGAGCAAGAAAAAAAAAAAACTGTGCACACTGTGAGTCAGGGCTGAAGGAGTCAGAGTTGGAATTGTAGGTTCCAGCTTTACATCCTCCTCCACAAACACTATTAATAGAGCTTGATTCAGCCACACCTTCTCTGATGCGAGCTCAGTGTCCAGAAACCAGCCAGAACACACCACCTCCTCTGCAATAATAGAGCATTGCTCAAAGAAAAACACACCACCTAGTATAAAGAGAGAATGTACTAATTTACACAACATTTTACATACAAACATACCTACTTTTATATCTAAAAGCCCAAAATTCAATGTAATATAGGGGGAAAACTAAAAATACCATTTTTCACCATGCCATTTTTCAGAAGATCTCCTTAAAGCCATACCATTACTCATCCACTATAGGACATCAGCATTGAAGCCAGAAATGAACTAAATTACAAAATACCACAGAGAAGGCTGGAAAACGGGCTCTTCGCTGGCCACTACCACAGCTACTCAGCGGCAAGGAAGGTATAGATAATGCAAGTTTTCAAAAGAGCAACAACTCATCCATCCATCCATCCATCATCTTCCGCTTATCCGGGGCTGGGTCGCGGGGGCAGCAGTCTAAGCAGAGATGCCCAGATTTCCCTCTCCCTAGACACTTCCTCCAGCTCTTCCGGGGGGACACCAAGGCATTCCCAGGCCAGCCGGGAGACAGAGTCCCTCCAGCGTGACCTAGGTCTTCCCCGGGGTCTCCTCCCAGTGGGACGTGCCCTGAACACCTTCCCGGGAAGGAGCCCAGGAGGCATCCGGAACAGATGCCCGAGCCACCTCAGCTGACCCCTCTCGATGCGGAGGAGCAGCGGCTCTACTCTGAGTTCCTCCCGAGTGACCGAGCTTCTCACCCTATCTCTAAGGGATCACCCAGCCACCCTGCGGAGAAAGCTCATTTCGGCCGCCTGTATCCGGGATCTTGTCCTTTCGGTCATGACCCAAAGCTCATGACCATAGGTGAGAGTAGGAACGTAGATTGACCGGTAAATCGAGAGCTTCGCTTTGCGTCTCAGCTGCTTCACCACAACAGACCGGTACATTGTCCGCATTACTGCAGAAGCTGCACCGATCCGTCTGTCAATCTCCCGTTCCATCCTTCCCTCACTAGTGAACAAAACCCTAAGATACTTAAACTCCTCCACTTGAGGCAGGAACTCTCCACCAACCTGAAGTGGGCAAGCCACCTTTTTCCGACTGAGGACCATGGCCTCGGATTTGGAGGTGCTGATTCTCATCCCAGCCGCTTCACACTCGGCTGCAAACCGTCCCCGTGCATGCTGAAGTTCTGAAGGGGCCAACACGACAACATCCTCCGCAAAGAGCAGAGATGAAATCGTGTGGTCCCCAAACCTGGCACCCCCCTGGCTGCGCCTAGAAATTCTGTCCATAAAAATTATGAACAGAACCGGCGGCAAAGGGCAGCCCTGCCGGAGTCCAACATGCACCGGGAAGAAGTCTGACTTACTGCCGGCAATGCGAACCAAGCTCCTGCTTCGGTCGTACAGGGACCGGACAGCCATTAGCAAAGGACCCCGGACCCCATACTCCCGGAGCACCCTCCACAGGCCGCCACGAGGGACACAGTCGAATGCCTTCTCCAAATCCACAAAGCACATGTGGATTGGTTGGGCAAACTCCCATGAACCCTCTAGCACCCTCTAGAGGGTATAGAGCTGGTCCAGTGTTCCACGGCCTGGACGAAAACCGCACTATTCCTCCTGATTCCGAGGCTCCACTATCAGCCGTATTCTCCTCTCCAGTATCCTGGCATAGACTTTCCCAGGGAGGCTGAGAAGTGTGATCCCCCTGTAGTTGGAACACACCCTCCGGTCCCCCTTCTTAAAAAGTCTCAGTCAACTCAGTCATGCAAAAAGGAAACAGAAAAATTGATCACTTGAACCTTAATTCTAAATCAATGTGGGTATGACGCATTAACTCGCATTGACATGATACATCCTGTTCCTTCATGTCACATTGCAAAATAATAACTAAAATTAGTTACTAATAATGTGTGATATGAATTACATTTACACTGCCATTCAAACGTTTAGCGTCAGGGAGATTTTGAATCACTTATGCTCACCACGGGTGCATTTATTTAATTAGGAAATACAGTAAAAACAGTAATATTGTGAAATATTAATACAATAAAATAATAGTTACTTTTAAATATATTTTCAGTTACTCCAGGCTGATTTGCTGCTCAAGAAACATTTCTTATTATTATTCTTATTCAGTTCAATAATCGTTCGAATCTCAAAACAGCAGAAAAGCAGGTCAGTTCTGAAAAAGACTTGCATATCTGCATCAGCACTTTCAATGAAAAAGCACTTTGAGTTCAGAAGAAAATGGCATTTGGAAGTGCCATATGCATTTTTCTTTGCCTTTTAATCATCCACAGCCGCATTTGTCCTGTCTAATTTTGGTGCCATATCTTACCACTATCAACACTACAATAATTACATTTCAGCAGAATAGATGCAGCCATTATCTACCAAAAGGAGATAAAGAACACCTTTGTTCACTGGAATACAATGAGAGCAAATTTCGTGCAACGTAGCAAAGCGTTCAGACATGCTCTGAAGGCTCAGTAAACAAATGCAAGGGAAAGTGGAGTCATAAAACTTTGACAGGCATCACACATCAAAGCCAAGCATGTCTATTAAATCATTTCAGGGGAATAATCCTTTTCAAATGTGCCGTGTGACGCCTGTCAGGGTGTAAATTAAATGGAGGAAACTGAACCATGGCCAAGGTGGAAAACACCGTAGCACGCCCCACTGTGGTTTTCACCACCACATAAAGTGAAACATTGAGGAGAAGGTCTCTGAGGTAGGAATACGATTAGAACTTGAAATTTCCAACTTAGTAAGTGCCATTTAAGGTTGCCAGGTCATTTCAGAGGAAGGGGATGGTGATTACAGCAACAGATGCATTGTAATAAAATGTGTTTTTATTTTAATTTTTGGCCCCAGTTTTTTTCAAGTACATCTCTCTTCAATTATTTTATTTCTATTCAACAAAGCTCACTGTATTTCTCATAAACACCTAATTATCCTTTGCACACTGTGTATTTAAGTTAATCAGCTGTAGAGATAATTAGCACAGGGCCATTAGGGATTAACAATGTTTTCAATTAAAACGTAGCCGGCCCTTTCAATAAATGTTGCATAAGCATTACACATAGAAGAACAAGGTGACGAGTAATTTCTTACCTGTTGAAGCAAAGTGTAACGGATGCAGAATCCCGGGTCTGAGGGAAAGTATTCATCAGAGACGAAGCGGATCAGGAACTGGTTCCCCTTGGATATCTGGGGCCCTGGAACCATCTGTGAGCCACACCAACGACCCAACACTATCCCTTCAACAGGCTCCTCCACCTCCACATAGTCATACCTACAACAGCAAACACACTGATTTACTACAGAGATTAATGAATCACAAGCATTCAGGTCCTGTTTACACCTGGTATTAACATCCATCTGGATTAGTGTTATTTTAGTATAATTGAGACCATGATACTTTTTGAGATACTGTTATATTTTTATTATTTTAAACTAGTTTTGAATTTTTTTACATTTTAATTGTAGTTCAAGTTTTTGTAATTTTGTTGTTTTTGTCATTCATTTTTTTATATTTCTGTGTAGTAATGAATTTGTATTTCAGGTTTAATTTAGTACATCATGTAACATTAGTTACATAAAGTTCTCCACATCAAGTTTTCCACAAAGATATTAAGCAGCACAACCATTTTCAACATTGATGATAATTTTAATGAATGTTTCTTGAGCACCAAATCAGCATATTAGAATGATTTCTGAAGGATCATGTGATACTGAAGGCTGGAGTAATGACAAGAATCATCACAGGAATAAATCACATTCTTAAATATTTCAGCTATTTTACAATATTACCATTTTTACTGTATTTCTGATCAAATAAATGCAGCCTTGATGAGCATAAGAGACAAAACAACAAAAAAATTCTTACTGACACCAAAACCTTGGAACAGTAGTGTATATGGAAAAACAAGGTAGAATTATTCTGAATATGTCTATCAAATCAGCACAAGGAGGTGTGGAATAAATTCTCTCTTTAAGATGTATTTGCCACAACAGAAGTTAAAGGATAAGGGGCATTTGTGTGTCTGTTGGTGTTATGAAATGTATTTATTTATTTTTACTTCCTATCAGATGTACAGGATCATGACAGGATCTGGACTGCATCCAAAAACTTAAAAGTGCTGCCTTTGGAGGATGCATTCTATGGTTGGAAGGCATCATGGCACGTCCGAATCCAATGCTAGCTTCACTTCCTGTCTCCTGAGATACCTTCATCTGATCGATTTTTGAAAGCAGCATATGTATCCGTCACTGCCTTTGATATCCCACAATCCTCTGCTTTCCATTCTGAGACAGTTGAGCTAAAAAATAAAGATGGTGTCTGAAATTTGCAGTTGGTGGTCCATCCATCCATCCATCCATCTTCTTCCGCTTATCCGGGGGAAGCAGACTAAGCAGAGATGCCCAGACTTCCCTCTCCCTAGACACTTCCTCCAGCTCTTCTGGGGGGACACCGAGGTGTTCCCAAGCCAGCCGGGAGACATAGTCCCTCCAGCGTGTCCTAGGTCTTCCCCGGGGTCTCCTCCCAGTGGGACGTGCCCTGAACACCTTCCCGGGAAGGCGTCCAGGAGGCATCCGGAACAGATGCCCAAGCCACCTCAGCTGACTCCTCTCGATATGGAGGAGCAGCGGCTCTACTCTGAGCTTCACCTGATTGACCGAGCTTCTCACCCTATCTCTAAGGGATCGCCCAGCCACCCAGCAGAGAAAGCTTATTTCGGCCGCCTGTATCCGGGATCTTGTCCTTTCGGTCATGACCCAAAGCTCATGACCATAGGTGAGAATAGGAACGTAGATTGACCGGTAAATCGAGAGCTTCGTCTTGCGGCTCAGCTCTTTCTTTACCACAACAGACCGGTACATCGTCCGCATTACTGCAGAAGCTGCACCGATCCGTCTGTCAATCTCCCGTTCCATCCTTCCCTCACTCGTGAACAAAACCAAGATACTTAAACTCCTCCACTTGAGGCAGGAACTCTCCACCAACCTGAAGTGGGCAAGCCACCTTTTTCCGACTGAGGACCATGGCCTCAGATTTGGAGGTGCTGATTCAGTTGGTGGTCAGTTTGTGTAAATGTAGGTTTTTGACCAACGTTTTCCACTTCTGATGTCATTTCTAGAGAGAAATTACTATTGTAGTAATTAAATATTCACTTGGTTATCACCAAAGCTCTCTCTATTGTGCTGTGGATCATTAAACAGTTAAAGGGTTAGTTCACCCAAAAATGGGCCTCAGAGTGAGTTCACATAGTGTAGCAGCGCTACGTCAGAACCTACACTCACTATTGGCCGACGCTGGTCATGTGTGAGATGCTGGCCAATAGTGAGCCTACGTTCTGACATAGCGGTGCTACACTACGTGAACTCACTCTGAGGCCCACACAGAAGATGAATAGTTGAATAAAGTCGTTATGTTTTGGGGGGATTTGCGCACAAAAAGTATTTTCGTCGCTTGATAAACTTAAGGTTGAGCCACTGTAGTCACTTGGACTATTTTAATGATGTTTTTACTAACTTTTTGGGCCGGCAAGTTTCAATCACATAGAAGCCTATGGAGGAGTGAGACAGCTCTCAGATTTCATCAAAAATATCTTAATTTGTGTTCAAAAGATGAGTGAAAGTCTTACGGGGTTGGACCAACATGAGGGTGAGTAATTACTGACAGAATTTTCATTTTTGGGTGAACTAACCCTTTAAGCTGCCTCAGAAGTCTGTCTAAAATCAGTTTCATGAGGTACCTTTGTGCACTAAAGCTGCCTACAAAGTCATTGCCTGATAAGGCAGTGAGGCAAAGTTTTTGCCAAAAAGTTTTTGAACATCCCTGGTGTGACGTCAGTCCTGCCAGCAGCATGTGATGATGCACACTGAAGCTAACTGTGCCTCATTGCCACTGCAATAAATCCAGCACCATGTCAATCCTGTTGGCCACCAGGCAGCTTCTGTAACGTGCCTGAACGCGGGGAAACAGCTAGCAAGAGATGATTTGAGGGGAGGTTGACACTGCTTTGGTCACAACTACATAGTTAATTCATCATTGTCCATTATCATCGAGTGTGAGGGAAGGCTAACGGCTATGAGACATCTAAAATGTAGGTCTAATGCTTTGAAGGCCTACACAGGGAACAATGCCAATTAAGCTATTTACAGACACACTATTACACAGGCATTTAAACAAAGGTAACGAGGAAAGATGGGACAAGTAGAGGGGAAAAACAGAAAGAGAGGATACTGAGAGAAAAATTGTGCTAATAAGCTTGGGAGAAAGTGAAGAGTGAATAAGATTAAATGAGGACTACGGACATGTAAGCTCATAAATTATATTTATCTATATTTGATCTCAAGCTAATATGCTAACGGATTAGGCTTTTCATAAACTACAATAGCTGTGACCTAGAAATCCATTCTCACAAGCATTCAATGAACTGAATAAGCTATAAACCGAAGCATGGCTAAATGTATTATCTCAATCACCCTGATGGCACTGCAGTCCACAGAGAACATGAGAGTTAAATCTATCTGTTATTATGACGTCTAAAAACATATTGGATTCTGGGATTACTCAGCTATCCAAAAATTGCAACAAAGCACCTGAAGGATTGTTTTGCATCTACTTCGGGGGAAATCACACCTAATCATATGATAAAAAAAGAAGAAAAAAAATTCTCCTAAAACGGTACAGATTTGACTGGTAATACAGTAACTTTTCATTACACGCATGTACTGTACCTCTATACAAAAGTACCCAATCAGCAAATTCACATATTGGCACATGGGGAAACTGTCTAAGAATGGAGAGCAATTGCTGAAATAATTGCATCATTAATTTAAACTGTCTATTAACTGTTTTAGCACTCCGTTCACTAATGGAACTATGTTAATGATGCAAAGATGTTCGCAAAATTGTTGTTTTCTCAATATGACTGCAATTTACAGAAGGCAAACTTACAAATTGGACACCAGGCTACATATTCACAGACAGGCTCATGCAAGTGTGTATAGTGAAAAAAATAAACAAATCTGCATTGGGTACAATATACCTCTCTCTATAACTTATACTCACACACCTGGTTGGATTGTGCAAGTTCCACAAAGTAGTGTAGCTTAAGTGAATTCACCCCTAATGTCTCTCATGGCCCTCTTTTGGGCTTTAAATTACAGTCTTTTGATGCAACTTGGCCTGAAGACAGTGGCCTGAGCATTTTTTTTTTTTATAAAGGAAAGAAAAAACAGCAGCGTTGAGTTTGTGTTATCCCTGCCTACATGGCCTCAATGCTCCTGCAGTGTTTAATAAATGCTGGTTTCAGTCACCGGCTCGCCGCAGCCAAAGCCTGGTAGTAATAATTTGATTGGACAGAAATACTTTACCTATTCTCCATGTCCCAGCACAACAGTTTGGCTTTCTGGAGTCATTGTTTGCTCTCTCTCCCCAGCCTGACACTAATGCTTCAAACCTCATTCAATAAAAACACCACAGGTCATCACGCATTGCACAAAAAAAAAAAAAAAAAACACTTGCTGGTTAAACGCACGTTGAACACCTGAATTTCTGACACACAATCGGATACTTATATAAATATATAATACAATAACTCCAATGAACAGGTGTCCATATATCAAGCATTAACTACTGAATTTAACATACTATCAAAATGTTTCTCTGCCCATGATTCTTTTCTACCTCAGAAGACCATAAAGCAGAGGGGTTTGTCTCGTTCCCAGTGACAATTTAGGCAGATGGCTCATCAATAATGTAATGTGATTTCACTATTACCAGGTTTACATGCATACATTCACTCCACAGAAGCTCAAGTAGGACAGAAGCACGACATCAGAAAACAGGCACTGGGTGTTTCAAGTCATTTTTAACACTGGAATGTTGAAACTGCATGCTTACAAACAAGGCACAATGAGATTTCCGCTAATAGCTCGTCACAAAGCAACACAGCACTTTGTGCTTATCCTCTCGGTTAATAAATTCAGGTAAAAGATGTTGAGTAAGTAATCGCATTAAGGAATTTGTGTTATAGATTATTGTGAAAGATTAATAAAGATACACTGTTCAAAAGTTTGGGGTCGGTAAGACTGTTTTTGAAAGTAGTCTTTTATGCTCTTAGGCTGCATTTATGTGATCAAATATACAGTACAAACAGTAATACTGCTAAATATTACAATGTAAAATAACTTTCTACTTTTATACATTTTCTATTTTATTGAATATTAAAATTAATTTGATCCTGTTATGTTATTTTCAGTGTCATTACTCCAGTCTTGAGTGTCACACGATCTTCCAGAAATCATTCTAATATGCTGATTTGATGCTCAAGAAACATTTCTGATTATTATCAAAGGTTGAAAATGTGTGGAAACAAATTTATTCAGGTTTCTTACTATTCTTACAGGAATCGTTCAACATAAACCTCCATGACAAATATTCCTGTACATTAAAAAGGGTACTGTTGATCACAATTCAAATTCCTAATCGTTGCGTTGACCAACCTTTTTCTTATGTGTCCTTTCAACACACTTCAGCTTTTCATCAAAGACAGAACCAACATTGTAAAATTTCCTAAGTAGTACAGAAAATCTGGCCCAGATTTCTTATCGGTCTGAACAAACACACAGAATGATGAGAGCTGTCTGTAGTCGCCTGTCGGCTCTGGGCTGGGCTTTGCTGGAGGCAGCGTGATAGGATTCAGCATGCAGCTTTATTACAGTTTATTCCAGCCTAGTTGCTTTGATTCGATCCAAACAGAAAGGGCTTTTTTCTTCATTAACTGGCATTAGATCATCATACCAATGTGTATTAATGCCTTTAAAGTATTTATAGCAATCATATATTGAAAAGCAGTAAAGGAGGACAGCAATGACATTGCATGGCGAATGTGTGTGTGTTTGTGTGTGTGTGGGGGGTTGGGGGGGCTGGGTAGTTCCTTTGGTGACTATGTATGTGAAAGTTGTGAACGAGGCATGTGCTATCACTTGTTCAATAATGACTTTAATAATTTATTGCTGGTGCAATCATACAGACCAAGTCACTACATGCCTGGTAGGTCGGTATATATTGTAAAACATATACATGAACACAGATGACAAACACACAAACAAACTCTTTCCAGGTCAAATACACTACGACTCACGGCACAAATACAACTCCAACCCTACATGTTCCTCAAGGCCACAGCTACTGATTTAAACAAAGGACAAGCAGGCACAAATTCATAGCATCAATGTGGGCAACTAGGAAAGGGTTCTGTTATGTTCAACTATCGGTACGATATGAGCAGGGAAGCATATTTATAATTTAAAGTCAATATGAAAAAAAAAAATCTATGGATACCATTTACTTCATACACATTCCTGGTCTTTTTGCGAGCCTACTTAATCCATATAAAATAACTTTGTTTTCCTGCTGCCATCTCACACATGGTATTGGACAATTTTAACTAATAGGCAAAAAGCTATAGGGATAGAAGAGTAGCATTCGATCATACACAATTCTTCTATGTTACACCGACATTTTACCATCCAACCAATTCCCGATGGATAAAGCACATTCCTTCACATTTAATATAAAAAAAAGGAAAGTAAAATGGGTTGCGAATGGCAGTTTGTTGAATTTATATACCGGTAAGATATAAGACTAAGATCTTATTGATCTATTAAAGATGTCCTGATTTTAAAAGTCTTATTGATCTTATAAGACTTTAAAAAAAGGACTAAGGGGTCCATTAACCGAAACAGTGTTAATGTGCCGTTAACATGAAGACACTAGGATATACACACAGCTGGCAAGACTCCAGAGTTCCCTTTTGAATGGGAACTCACACTGTGTCTTAGGACGCTAATGGGGAATGTCCCCATTTTTTCTTGTCTTCAAGAGCTGTTTGTTTGTGACGTGTCGAAGGCAGTAATGGCAGCTAAAGCTTTCAGGAACTGCGTACATATGTGTCAGCTCTATCTGATACCTGATGATACACACGATCTGTGCATGATATGGTCGGGTGAGGAGCATCGCTCAGTCCTCAAGGGGGCTGCATGAGAGCATTGCGAGAGTTTCACTATGAAGAAACTCCACTCTCATTTGTCCCTTTTTTCAAGGCAATTGGGATAATCATCTGCGCCCTGTGGATCAGGACCTGCTGCAAATAAGACGAATAGGAGACTGAGATCATGGGGCTCTCAGATGGAGCTTGCCGAGGAATTTGAGAAAGGTATGGCTATTTCTCATTCTTTAGTGCCCCAGCGTCCTAGGACGCACTGTCTCGTTCCCCTTCTGAGGGAAACAAGCTTACATTCGTAACCCGAGACAGTTTGCTGATAAGCGTGTATGAAAATACATTATCTAATTGATTATTAACAAAAAATAAAACTATACTGATTTACTCGTTAAGTACAAGAGTAGTGACAAGACAACTGTCACAAATCACTTCATATGAGGCTTGCAGACAACGAGGAACCTTTCACAGGTTGTGTCCACAAGTCAAGAGGATATTAAGACAGAATATGCAAGAAAAAACACATTGTTTTTTTATCAATAACTGGCAGAGACCTATAGGCATTTTTTCCACATGAAACCACCAGCTATGGGAAGGTCATCATCAAGATTCTGGGAAGTAAAAATGCACAGATGTGCACGTCTACAATCAATTGCACCATAAAGCAAAACAGAGGCATGGACAGAGGCCTGGAAGGAAGGAAGGAAAGCTAGCCTATAATTGAAAGGGTCTTTAATGTGGATTGGCTGGCTGTGCTGTGTGTGAGTGTACGTCTGGTTTAGTATGCGCCTCCAGAATCTCAAACAGATGCTATGGAGTTACATAGGAGACTTGGAACTAAATATGCACAAAGCAGAAAGGGCTGTTCTTTATGTCACTGTATCAGTCATGGAGAAAATAAATATATAACAGAACATAATCACTTTAGGGGTGGGCTTTTCATTATTCATCAGCCTTCTTGCAGCACAACCAATCTCCCAAATGGCCTCCTTTCGACTCTAAATCTTAACAAATGGACGTGGTCACAACAAGCACATACATCTCCACTGTAATCCCCCCTCCCACCCCACATACACTTATACTGCTTCATTGTATATGGGTGCTTTATCTTACATCTGACCCTGTCAAGAGAGTGCAATGGATGCCTGATGCTGCTTGTTTAGTAGCGCTGATCTGTCGCATGAAAGGAAACACTTGGGGAATTTTTCAAGCTCTCAAATCTTCTAAATCACCTTCTCTCTACAGTTTCGGTCTAGCCTTGATGCTATATTGAAACCCGCCTGTTTAAATCAACTGCCAGCTTCGGCTTGTCCTAGACTGTCACAGCCCTGAAGAACCATTTAAAAAAAAAATCAGTTTCATTTGTCAGGTACCACAGAAAATATTTTGAAATGTAAAATTAAATTGAAGTGCTGAATCCATAAGAGTCATATTGATTACTAAACCAGTCTTATGAATTTAGTAAAAAAACTATCCACAAATTAAAACCTGAAAAAAACAGAATGCATAAATATTTAATAAATATCATTTCATTTTTTCCAATTGAACAACCACCTTCATTAATACACAATATTGCTCTGGACTATAGGCCATTATGTTCAAAGATATGGAAATGGATAACAAATTATTTATTTTGTCTACTCAATGATTTACTCATTTTCAACAAAGTCTATAGTTATTTTTATTTACTTTTTTTATTCTCTTTCTCCATGTTAAGATATTGTCTTTCTCTAATTGTCCATGTGAGGTCTAGCAAGTGACCAAAGGGTCAGAGTCTCTTACTTGCAAATGCCGTCCTCGGCGTCCTCCAGGCCAAAGCGCGGATCAAAGGTCAGCTGGATCCTGGAACTTTCTGTGACTGCCACCAGCCGCCACACTATAACTGTATTCCGGGGATATGTGTTGGGGAATTCAGGACTTTGAATAATTCCATCCCCAGTAACACTGAGGACCTTCTCGTGTTGAGACTCATGCACTCCTTCAGAAGAGAAAAGAAAGGTTTATTAGTACATTTTTGAACCTGCATAACTCACCAGAGCAGAGAAAGAACATGTCATACAGTCATTTGTGAATAGTCCTTTTCTTTTTTTCTTAATGCAAATTAACATCAAACTGGATTTAGCTTCTAATGCATCACAAATAACATGGATTATGCAGTGCACTTTGTGAATACTACACAAAGCAAGGATGAACCAAACTCTGTTTTTTATTGAGCATTGATTGACTGCAAACCTGATAATCACATTAAGGGGGTGATAAAAGAGAAACTATGGAAATGATTATGCAATATCAACACCATAAAACCAGTAGAATGATGTTCTACTATTTGCTAACACAGCATATGCTTAATGAACATCTGTGTATCAAAGCAATATGGTGCTTTGATGTTGCTTCACCATTATAGTTTTCAATTATAGATCCAGATAAGAAAGATGAATCAGTAGCTATAAAATGTTATTTATAGTGACAAGACAGCTGGAAATGGCATTCCTAGTTGTAACAGTCAGATAAGAATTAAAGCTGGGTTGAAAAACATTGTTTGGGTGGTGGAAACTTGTGAAGGCTACCAAGTTGTTCAGCTACAATCAATTGTAGTTCTTAGAGCTCCGATAGTTTAACAGTTCAGAGAAATGCAAGGTGAAGAATAAAAGTTTGAAGTACTTTTGAGCTCAGTGATTATACAGAGGTATGCCAAAACGTTAGTGGTGTTTAAAGCTCAGAAATGATTACACACCGATTCACTTGCTACTGTTATGACAAGATTTACAGAGTTGTTCCTCCCTAGAGGAAAAAACTATAATAGCTTCCTTAATACAGCACAAATAATAATAATAAAAACTTTTACCTCTACCTTTGCCAGGGAATGAAAATGAGCTTGTAGAACTTCCAACATGCTTTTCACTTGAAACTGAGTCATTCTTAACTCTTAATCCACATTTCACACTGTTATTCTGGGTTCGTAATTAATCCTATAGTCAGGATTCAATGTCACACTCTGCATTTGTAAACGCTGAGTTAATATGCTTATTTACATATTTATTAGGTTAAACACATTGATTGGACAAGTACAACATTCAACAAGCACACACTCGGTTAAACCGCTTGCCCATCAGTTCAAATGGCGCCATGCATATCTGCACTTGTTAAGTCTGGTCGTTTGCTATAATTGTTCAACAATAACGATTTCCTTCAGACCAAATTTGTGCGAATGTACAAAAGAGAATGAATAAGAAATCCACTGAAGTGTTTATGATTGGTTGCCCATTAAATGTAACGTCAAAGTGTTTCACAGTGTATAATCTTAACATTTAGATTTCACATTCCAGGGTCCAAAGAAGTGTGAATTACTGGCTAAGCTAGAGTAAAAAACAGTCTGTACCCGAGTTTTAAAAGGACGTTAAAGCCAGTATTTCTACATGTGCTGATGCACGTTTGCCAACATTTCACAACAGTTACATCACAGCAAAAAGAACTAATAAAGAACCAGCCTGAAAATATTTGTTTCAAAATAGGTAGAAATGATTCTTAGAAAGAGATGCTTGCTTCCCGTCCAATAAAATGTTATTGAATTCTGAAAGTGGGTTGGAATATCTTATCCTGTTGTTGTACTAGGTTCAGAAAAGATGTTTGATGCAAACAGACAGCTGTTGAAATGCAAAACCAGTGCTGGTTTTACAGGCCTGTCACATTCAGAGCCCACCCAGGGGAAATGCACACAGATTTTCTTTCACACTCCAATCCTCGAAAATACACACACAGTGTGTGGCAAAGCCAGTATCAATAGGTATCCTGATCCGTTACGGTGATGATACAAGATCTGTAATGCTCTTCCCTGTCTATCTGAATTAAGCAGCAACACCAGAACTATTCACCTTCAAAATTAAGACAAAACACCGGCATTTTTCTATGCTGTATTTCCAGGTATCAATTCAATACATAACGAATGAGAAACTATCAAAGGTCATTGCTTCCATTCAAAGCAAGGGATAATTATCTTGTTAGCTCGCTGGGGTCCAAAACATGTTGACTTTCACTGTATGAACAAAAATATTTATCAAAAAATATTTTGTATTTTAACAGAAGAAATAAAAGGTATACAGGTTTGGAAATGAGAGTAAATTACAATTTAAGGTGGTAGCTTTGGTAAATGTCCACCATGAATGTGATATTTTCCTATCTTCTACATGCATGTGTGCATGTACAGTATCTCACAAAAGTGAGTACACCCCTCGCATTTCAGTAAACATTTTAGCATATCTTCTCAAGGGACAATACTATAGAAATGAAACTTGGAGTTTTGAATTTTAGAGTAGTCAATGTGCTGCTTGTATAGCAGTATATATTTACTGTCCTCTGAAAATAACTCAACATAAAGCCATTATTGTCAAAATAGTTGGCAACAAAAGTGAGTACACCCTAAGTGAACATGTCAAAACTGTGTCCAAGTGTCAATATTTTGTGTGAGCACCATTGTTATCTAGCACTTAAATCCTCCAGGCCATGGAATTCACCAGAGCTGCACAGGGGTGCGTTTCCCGAAAGCATCGTTATCCAACTATGATCGCAATTTCCATTGAACTCTATTGGTAACGACGGAACTTGCGACCATAGTTGGCTAACGATGCTTTCGGGAAACACACCCCAGGTTGTTGCTGAGATCCTCTTCCACTCCTCCATAATGACATCACGGAGCTGATGGATGTTAAACACATGGTTCTTTCTCCACCTTCTACTTGAGGATGCCCCACAGGTGTTCAATAGGGTTCAGGTCTGGAGAAATACTTGGCCACTCCATCACCTTCATCTTCAGCTTCCTCACCAAGGCAGTTGTCATCTTGGTGGTGTCGTTTTCATGCCGTTCGGCCCAGTTTCTGAAGGGAGAGCATCATGTTCTGCTTCAGAATGTCACAGTACATGTTGGAATCCATGTTTCCCTCAATGAAGCTCAGCTCCCCAGTACCAGCAGCACTCATGCAGCCCCAGACCATGATGCTACCACCACCATGCTCGACTGTAGGCAAGACACAATTTTCTTGGTACTCCTCACCAGGGCATCGTCACACATGCTGGACACCATCTGAGCCAAACAAGTTTATCTTAGTCTCATCAGACCACAGGACATGGTTCCAGTAATTCAGGCTCTTGGACAGGTTACTTTCAGCAAACTGTTTGCAGGCTTTCTTGTGACCCAGCTTCAGAAGAGGCTTCCTTCTGGGACGACGGCCATGCAAACTGACTTGTTTCAGTGTGGCGTATGGTCAGAACTCATGCGTCTGTTTTTTGAAGCCAGCTTCTGCACCTGATGCACAGCACGAGGACTCAACTTCTTTGATTGACCCTTGCGGCAAAGGTTGGCAAAAGTGATTGAGGCCTCTTCCGAGTGGAACCCGTCTTGGAAAACCTCTGTATGACCCTGGCCTGTACTGTAACTCAGTTTCAGGGTGTTACCAATCTTCTTATAGCCTAGGTACACTTTGTGGAGAGCAACCATTCTAATTCTTAAATCCTTAGAGAGTTATTTGCCATGAGGTGCCATGTTGAACATCCAGTGGTCAGTATGAGACAATTGTACTCAAAGCACAAATTTTAACTGCTCTAATACAAGATACACACATTTGTATGGTCCTGTCAAGCAGACAAAAACATGAAAATGATGAATAGGACATGTGGCTTTGCATGGTTAAACGACGTACAGCTATCATCACTTAGAGTGAACTCACTTTTGTTGCCAGCTATTTTGACAATAATGGCTGTATGTTGAGTTATTTTCAGAGGACAGTAAATATATACTGCTATACAAGCAGCACATTGACTACTCTAAAATATATCCAAGTTTCATTTCTATAGTATTGTCTCTTGAGAAGATATACTAAAATGTTTGCTGGAATGTGAGATGCATGTATGCATGCATGCATGTATGTATGCATGTATGTATGCATGTATGTATATGTATATGTATTGGCAAATGACTTATTTATCCCTCCACAGTCTGGATGACAGGTCCCATCACAAGCAGCAGTTAATGCTGAATGATGTTTCAGGAGTCACTGGCAGAGTAATGACAGAACCAATGAGGTTTTGGAAAGTTCTGGGGAACAGCTTTAACCCCTGAGGTGTGTCAGCAACCACAAGAGATAGAAATCCGATCACTCTGACATCCATAACTGAAGGAAGGAGCAGAACAGAGAGAGAGATAAAAAAAGAATCTGTTTAGATCATCAAAATTCAATATGTTTGACTAAGACTCTGTGTGACTTGTTTATAATAGGCAGGAGGAAAAATTTAGAGTGGAAGAAAGAAGACAACTGATATAATTTCTCTCTGTAAACATGACAGGGGCTGCTTTGATGTCTCTTTCTCATGTTGTGATTAAATGCACTCTGGGGAGGAGATGTGAAAGACAATACACAAGTCACTTTTAAACAGACAAACTTTGTGCAAGTCCAAAAAAAAAAAAAAAGAGTATACCAAAATTTGCGCTCGACACGCAGAAACCTGGAATGCCCCGCAAACTATTGCCTGCTTTAAGAATAGACACCTTTGTCAATGTTAGGGAGGCAAAGCAAGATCGCTCATGCTCTCCGGAGTTGAGGAGGATTTTGTGTGAAAGATATCCAAACAAAAGAGCCTGAGGCCCGTGGAACAGTGTTGAACACCTCAGATCTGTTTGCAGCACAAGCCCAAACCCTTTATGGATTCAGTTATATAAACAGATCAGAGTTGGCTACAGCTGCCAAGGTCTTTGAAGTCCCTTAAAACGAGAAAGAAAGGGCCTTTCCTCAGCATGTTGTAGCATTTGCCCAGCTGACTGACAGCTTCTTGTCAAGCTCTGTATTAATGTTTATAATTCTCGTAGGTTTCTGGTGTTAAGGCAGGCCCTCTATTGTTGAGGCATATGATTGTAAGCTGTTAGAAGTTATTGGAAGGAGGGAAAAGGTGCACTCCTGTTCTCAAAACGCTAATGTAACAGGAGCAGAT